TCAGTACTGGCACCTGAACATACTTCTGGAGTGAAAAAATATCGTTAACCGGGGGTCCACTGTATATTATGTTTGGTAGCAGAGCAGGAGATGCACAAATTAACATTATGATCGACAACGCTCTAATTACCAGACATAATGAGGGCAAATTCCTAGGCCTATACCTTGACAACAACCTGAATTTCAACACCCATATCCAACACATAACCAAAAAAGTAACCAAAACGGTTGGGATCCTCTCCAAGATACGATACTACGTGCCGCAAAATGCCCTTCTCACACTATACCACTCACTTATTTATCCATACCTCACCTATGCTATTTGTGCTTGGGGATCAACTGCAGCAACACACCTAAAGCCAATAATAACCCAACAAAAAGCCGCAGTAAGATTTATTTTTTTTTATTATCACACTGGCCGATTCCCACCAAGGCAGGGTGGCCCGAAAAAGAAAAACTTTCACCATCATTCACTCCATCACTGTCTTGCCAGAAGGGTGCTTTACACTACAGTTTTTAAACTGCAACATTAACACCCCTCCTTCAGAGTGCAGGCACTGTACTTCCCATCTCCAGGACTCAAGTCCGGCCTGCCGGTTTTCCTGAACCCCTTCATAAATTTTACTTTGCTCACACTCCAACAGCACGTCAAGTATTAAAAACCATTTGTCTCCATTCACTCCTATCAAACACGCTCACGCATACCTGCTGGAAGTCCAAGCCCCTCGCACACAAAACCTCCTTTACCCCCTCTCTCCAACCTTTCCTAGGCCGACCCCTACCCCGCCTTCCTTCCACTACAGACTGATACACTCTTGAAGTCATTCTGTTTCGCTCCATTCTCTCTACATGTCCGAACCACCTCAACAACCCTTCCTCAGCCCTCTGGACAACAGTTTTGTAATTCCGCACCTCCTCCTAACTTCCAAACTACGAATTCTCTGCATTATATTCACACCACACATTGCCCTCAGACATGACATCTCCACTGCCTCCAGCCTTCTCCTCGCGCAACATTCATCACCCATGCTTCACACCCATATAAGAGCGTTGGTAAAACTATACTCTCATACATTCCCCTCTTTGCCTCCAAGGACAAAGTTCTTTGTCTCCACAGACTCCTAAGTGCACCACTAGCTCTTTTTCCCTCATCAATTCTATGATTCACCTCATCTTTCATAGACCCATCCGCTGACACGTCCACTCCCAAATATCTGAATACATTCACCTCCTCCATACACTCTCCCTCCAATCTGATATTCAATCTTTCATCACCTAATCTTTTTGTTATCCTCATAACCTTACTCTTTCCTGTATTCACCTTTAATTTTCTTCTTTTGCACACCCTACCAAATTCATCCACCAATCTCTGCAACTTCTCTTCAGAATCTCCCAAGAGCACAGTGTCATCAGCAAAGAGCAGCTGTGACAACTCCCACTTTGTGTGTGATTCTTTATCTTTTAACTCCATGCCTCTTGTCAAGACCCTCGCATTTACTTCTCTTACAACCCCATCCATAAATATATTAAACAACCACGGTGACATCACACATCCCTGTCTAAGGCCTACTTTTACTGGGAAATAATTTCCCTCTTTCCTACATACTCTAACTTGAGCCTCACTATCCTCGTAAAAACTCTTCACTGCTTTCAGTAACCTACCTCCTACACCATACACTTGCAACATCTGCCACATTGCCCCCCTATCCACCCTGTCATACGCCAACAGACTTATCCCCCTATAATTTTTGGATTCTCTTTTATCCCCTTTGCCTTTATACAAAGGAACTATGCATGCTCTCTGCCAATCCCTAGGTACCTTACCCTCTTCCATACATTTATTAAATAATTGCACCAACCACTCCAAAACTATATCCCCACCTGCTTTTAACATTTCTATCTTTATCCCTTCAATCCCGGCTGCTTTACCCCCTTTCATTTTACCTACTGCCTCACGAACTTCCCCCACACTCACAACTGGCTCTTCCTCACTCCTACAAGATGTTGTTCCTCCTTGCCCTATACACGAAATCACAGGTTCCCTATCTTCATCAACATTAACAATTCCTCAAAAATTCCCTCCATCTTCCCAATACCTCTAACTCTCCATTTAATTACTCTCCTCTCCTATTTTTAACTGACAAATCCATTTGTTCTCTAGGCTTTCTTAACTTGTTAATCTCACTCCAAAACTTTTTCTTATTTTCAACAAAATTTGTGATAACATCTCACCCACTCTCTCATTTGCTCTCTTTTTACATTGCTTCACCACTCTCTTAACCTCTCTCTTTTCTCCATATACTCCTTCCCTCCTTGCATCACTTCTACTTTGTAAAAACTTCTCATATGCTAAACTTTTTCTCCCTTACTACTCTCTTCACATCATCATTCCACCAATCGCTCCTCTCCCTCCCTGCACCCACTTTCCTGTAACCACAAACTTCTGCTGAACACTCTAACACTACATTTTTAAACCTACCCCATACCTCTTCGACCCCATTGCCTATGCTCTCATTAGCCCATCTATCCTCCAATAGCTGTTTATATCTTACCCTAACTGCCTCCTCTTTTAGTTTATAAACCTTCACCTCTCTCTTCCCTGATGCTTCTATTCTCCTTGTAATCCCATCTACCTTTTACTCTCAGTGTAGCTACAACTAGAAAGTGATCTGATATATCTGTGGCCCCTCTATAAACATGTACATCCTGAAGTCTACTCAACAGTCTTTTATCTACCAATACATAATCCAACAAACTACTGTCATTTCGCCCTACATCATATCTTGTATACTTATTATCCTCTTTTTCTTAAATATGTATTACCTATAACTAAACCCCTTTCTATACAAAGTTCAATCAAAGGGCTCCCATTATCATTTACACCTGGCACCCCAAACTTACCTACCACACCCTCTCTAAAAGTTTCTCCTACTTTAGCATTCAGGTCCCCTACCACAATTACCTCTCACTTGGTTCAAAGGCTCCTATACATTCACTTAACATCTCCCAAAATCTCCTCTCTCCTCTGCATTCCTCTCTTCTCCAGTGCATACACGCTTATTATGACCCACTTCTCGCATCCAACCTTTACTTTAATACCACATAATTCTTGCATTTACACATTCATATTCTCTTTTCTCCTTCCATAACTGATCATTCAACATTACTGCTACCCCTTCCTTTGCTCTAACTCTCTCAGATACTCCAGATTTAATCCCATTTATTTCCTCCCACCGAAACTTCCCTACCCCCTTCAGCTTTGTTTCGCTTAGGGCCAGACATCCAACTTCTTTTCATTCATAACATCAGCAATCATCTGTTTCTTGTCATCTGCACTACATCCACGCACATTCAAGCATCCCAGTTTTATAAAGTTTTTCTTCTTCTCTTTTTTAGTAAATGTCTACAGGAAAGGGGTTACTAGCCCATTGCTCCCCGGCATTTTAGTCGCCTCATACGACCACGCATGGCTTACGGAGAAAGATTCTTTTCCACTTCCCCATGGACATTAGAAAAATAAAGAAGAACAAGAGCTATGTAGAAAAAGGAGAAAAACCTAGATGTATGTATATATATATGCATGTGCATGTCTGTGAAGTGTGACTAAAGTGTAAGTTGGAGTAGCAAGATATCCCTGTTATCTAGTGTGTTTATGAGACAGAAAAAGACACCAGCAATCCTACCATCATGCAAAACAGTTACAGGTTTCTGTTTCACAGTCATCTGGCAGGACGGTAGTACTTCCCTGGGTGGTTGCTGTCTACCAACCTACTACCTTATGAGTATGTATATATACGTCAAACACGGTACCTCGTAAGACGTATATATATGGCCGCGACAGTCAAAGGGTTAAAGGAGGGGTTTGGGAGTTTGGGAGTTTGAGCTTCTCTGCGAAGACAGTGATCATGTATGAGTGATGGTGAGAGTGTTGAATGATGATGAAATTTTTGTTTCCTTTCTTTTTGGGTATTTCTTTTTAGGTCACCCTGCCTTGGTGGGAAATGACCAACGTGATAAAAAGAAAAATCGCTTCTGCCATAATCTCTCCCTCCAATCTGATATCCAATTTTTTTCCTTACCTAACTTGTTAGATACTCATTTGGTATGTAGTAGGTTGGTAGACAGCAACCACCCAGGGAGGTACTACTGTCTTGCCAAATGTGTGTAAGATGGAAACCTGTAATTTTGTTTTACACGATGGTGGGAGTGCTGGTGTCTTTTTTCTGTCTCATAAACCACAAGATAACAGGTGTATCTTGTTACTTTTACTTACAATTATTTCACACTACACATCCATGTACATATTTATGTATATACACTCATCTGAGTTTTCTTTGATTTTTTCTTAATAGTTCTTATTTCCTTTCAACTCCATGGGGAAATGGAATAAGAATCTTTTCTCTGTAAGCCATGCGTGCTGTGAAAGTCAACTAAAATGCCAGGAGCCATGGGCTTGTAACCCCTTCTCTCGTATAGCTTACTATAATTAAAAGGAAGAAAACCTTTATGTATTTATCAACATGCCAAAGAATATTTGATTCAGGATTAGATTAACAGTATTTTTTAGTTATGATAAGCAGGATGCTCCTCCTTTTATTTGGTCTCCAGCTTCAAAGCAGCAGCATGGGGAGAGAGTTACCGCTTCAAGAAGATGGTCTTTTTTTTCTGGTCTCTAGCTCCTGGGCAGGGCAGGGACAGTTGGGACACTCACGTTCCTGAGTTTCGAGATAATTGGGCAGATAAACAAATAACCCACACAAGGAGAAAGAAGTCATGATGATGTTTTGATCCAACTTGGGCCATTGACGAGTCACATTAGTCAGTGGTCCAAGTCAGACCGAAATGTTGTCCTAATTTTCTCCTTGTGCAGGTTATTTGTGTATAGTAACAGTCACGATATTGTGCTGTTTTGTTCTTAATTGGGCAGATATTTAATATAATTAATTTGTAAATAAACAGTAAAGTTATGGCCATGATGTGACAGAACTTTGGCTTTGCAGAGGACATCCTCGTTCGCTTCTATGAGGTGAAGGATGGGATGATAGACTGGGAAGCTTATGGCGACTTTCAAGCCTCTGATGTTCATAAACAAGTTGCAATATCATTTAAGACACCCAGATATAAGTCACTAGAGGTAAGTGCCCTCATCCTGTATCTTATTCAGTATATCTTGCTAAGATAAAGGAAGAAAACCATATACTGTTTATACACAAGTTTAGTGCATATAGAATGCCTGATTGGTGATAATTGATGCAATAACATTGTACACCATTATGAATGGTACAAAGGAAGGGTTAAATTACACAAGAGGTCACATGTAATACTCTAGATGGCCCTTACTGGAAGCTCCTAGAGTTAGAGTAATAACCAGAGATAATGCACACCACAAACGTACGTGTGCGTGTGTGCGTGTGCGTGTGTGCGTGTGCGCGTGTGTGCGTGCGTGCGTGCGTGTGTGCGTGCGTGTATGTGCGTGCGTGTGCGTGCGTGTGCGTGTGTCACCCATTTGTACTTGTCTGTTTATGTTTGCAGGGGTTGATTATCATATCCTAACCAGAGAGCTCTTGTATTGTTTTTCACCTACTGTATGTCAGATGTACCTGTGCTAAACACTAGGCTCAGTCTTACTTGCTTATATTCTCTCTTGTCATGTCTTTAATATGCTGACAAAGGAAGTTTTCTCTAATCACCTCCATCAGCTTAGTGCTCAATGTTTCAGGTGCCCCATGTGGGTCCCACTTCCCCCAGTTTGCTATGATTGAAACCTTCCATTATAAATAGTTATGTTTTAGCCCTAAAAGCAGAAGCATTCTTACCCTTGAGTAATAATTTATTTTACTTTATTAAAATTTGCCTTTGTTTGCAGATAGAAAATCCTGTGAAGGTATACGTGCAGCTACTGCGTCCATCAGACAAGAGCACCAGTGAACCACGACCGTTCCAGTACCTGCCTCTTGATTCAGGTAGGCCTTTCACGTCATTTAAAAGGCTTAAGAACAATTATGGTTTGTTCCAACGTATTCTGGGCTTGGACTCTCCTCTTATCAGTTCGGTGGCTGGAGATGATAACCTTCGTCACAAAACACCATCACACTCCCCACGGTCTCCAGGTTTTCTTGATTCGCTAAGCATGGAGGATACAAAACCCAAGCCACCAGCGGATCTTAAATTGGCCAGTCCACCTGCTGCTTCACAATCTCGGCCAGCTCCAGCTTCATCACCCCCTTTGTTGTCCCAATCAAAATCACCAGTTGCATCTGCTGGTTTGGTATTCCCAAGTTCCTCACCTCCCTTGTTAATGTCTCCTGACCAGAGTGTGGATGATATTCGACAGAGATTAACAGCAACATTAGAACGCAGAAAAACAGGAGGCCTGTCTCCCAAAGCTGTTGGTCCTCAACGGCCGTCACCATTTTGGTCAGATGATGCAAGTGTTTATTCAGATGCTGATATGCTTGATGATGTTATAAGTCAAGGCAGTGTTAATGACTTGCTTTCTGCTGTTGGTGAAGGATTTGCAGTGTATGAGGACATTACAGGGTTACCAGACTCCTCCAACAACAATCCCATCCCTGCAGATGCTGTGTATGGAGATGCTTCTTATGCATCCTGCTATTCAAACTTAGAGTTTGTCATGGGTCAGGCTAGAGCTGTTGCTGCAGTAACTGCTACCTCAGTTTCAACTGATGATGATAGCAATACAAAATTAGATGCCCCACCCTCCTTGCCACCCAAGAAAAATCCTCGAGAGTCCATCGTTCAGTTAGACGATGATTTTGGTGAATATGGTACTCCTTCGGGCCAGCCAGTTCATGCCAACAAGGCAGCACTCTTATTAGAGAGAGGTTTTCGTGCTGGAGGCCTTGCCAAGCTTAGTAGTAGTCAGAGTCCATCTAGTAATCATGCAGATAATTCTGTATATTATAACCCAGGAGGATGTGCGCAGGCCCCATTGGGCTCGGCTTCTGAGTGCGATGAATTGGAGGACATGTGGGATGATTCGTCTAGTCAGCCTCAAGAGCTTACGTGTGAGCAACTCCCACGTACCGTCCTTGATTTATTTGTGTAAATATCTTGAACATTCGATGGTGAAGTTGAAGCCATGAGGCATAGACAGTGATGATTATTATTAAAAACTTGTTTGGATAATTACAAATTAATTTGCATGCAAAATTTTAATGTCAGTCTATATTTTTTTTTTTTAACATGCTAGCTGTCTCCCACTGAGGCAGTGTGGCCCAGAAAAAGAAAGATGACTGAGGGAAATTATGTAATTATACATAATTGGCACTAGTGAAAAAATGAACTTCATTACTGAAAAAATGAATATTAAGAAACATTCTGTGCAGGTATATTTATAAACTTATTGTTTTCATGGCTTTTGCTTCCTAGAAATAATAAAGAAACACACAAATAAAGAGACAACTTGTACAATAAGTGGTAATGTTTCCTATTTTCATGCATCTCCAAATTGGAAATGATGAATTTATTGTTATGTGTGTGTGTTTTTTTTTTTATGTGAAATGGACAACACAGAGTTCAAGAATCCTTTTGGATTGTGTTTAGTAAGGGGACATAGAAATTCTTAATGTTTAACCTAGTTGTATTTGGCACAGATAAATTCAGCAATGTACAGTGCTTGCACTTTGTATACACAACCCATAAAACCCAAAAGTGAATCTAATCATAGATATACGATCAAATTCCCAAATTTAAGAGGAAAACGGTTACATTTTTAAGAAACTCCACCAACCTAGAATCTGCTTGAAATGCAAAATTGGCTTCATAATTTTTTTTTTTTTCAGATTTAGGCTCATTTTGGGTTTCATAGAAAACATCTGTCTTAAATAAAGTTTTGATTATTGAATTCTCTGAATTAGGAACCCTCCAAATTTGTGGGGTTGAATGTATCTGGATGAGTGTTGTTCACTAAGATATACGTAAAAATCTCCTTCATTGTGTTGCAGCTGCAAACAGAGCAAAGGCAGCATGAGAAGATGTTAGCATAGGTATAAAATGCTACATTAGGTGCTAGTTTGAGAGTTTAGTTATACATATATACTGTATATACAATATATGTGGGCAATATATGTATTCTATATATAGATATATATACTGCAGTGATATGGGAAATGGGTATCAACCATTTTGAAGGGAGGAAAGTGGGTTATGCAGGAAATTAGCCTAAATTTAACTGCTCATTATATTAACATGAGAGTCATCTCGCTAAATATTATTTTGTGATAAGTTAGGTTTTAATGAGGGTATTTATTAAGTACAAGTCCCTGTTATTTCTTACTGCCTTGTAATTTCTTGGGAAGTTAATGTAAACACCAGATATATACATATACAACTTATCTAGTCCAAGTAGCCAAGGAGGGTTGTGATGTGAATCCAATCACTATTGGATCCTTAGTTTCTAGTCATATTAATTACAGTCTGATGCTTAATTTTGAGTTAATGACAAAGATAGTATATTGTACTACTACAAGTTAAATCCTCAAATGATAGGGCAGGATCATTAATATCAGATGTCAAAGAAAAAGCATTTATTTTCATGAATCATCACAGAGAAGAATGACAGCTGGACTTATAATACAGAAAGGTATTAACACAGTCTGATCAAGATATCTCTACTGAGAACCTTTGTAAGTAGTAGTGTTCTCAGTGGATAATATACAAAAGCATTTAATTATATAAATATCAGTATATCAATGGGAACACAAAGCTTGCTAACTCTGCAGTTGATTTTGTAAGAAGTTAGTGCCAACAGTTTTTGATCATGAGGTTTGTTTGATGTGTAGTTGGTATCATTACTGGAATGTCATTAATCAGTAAGTTTCTTAGTAAAATATATAGGTTTGTTTCTTAACGTTATACAAACGTGTAATATACGTAAAACTTAAATTTGACTCGACAAAGAGTTTTATTTATTGTAAACAGATACATTGTACAGTAGCTCTTATTCATTATCAGCAGATACACTGTACAATAGCTCTTATTTATTGTAAACAGATACAGTAACTTTAGTCATCAGATACAATATACAATAACTCTTATTTATTATCATCAGAGACAGTATACAGTAACTCTGTTTATTGTCAACAGATACAGTATACAGTAAAGTTTATTAATTGTAAACATGTACAGTACAGGTACACAATATTTAAATTATGCTTATATTTTAAATTTTAGAATAAAAGTTTTTAATTAATTACTGAAATGTTTAAAGTGAGTCATAAAATATCTAGTGGTGTGATTTTACTGGGTTTTCCTGAATTTCATGTGAAACATGCAAATCCAGGGAGAAACAAAATGGTGGAGAAGGAAAGAATTAATACTTGTGACTTAGAATACTTGTTGCATCACTTTTATGTACACAGAGAAGGCTATTTACACTGTGCTAGGCAGTGTTGATAGATGGGAGTTAGAGGTGTTGCTAGCTGGTCTACACATCTACTCAGCAGTCTTGAGATCAACTTATCTGGGCCCACAGCCTTTTCTTTGTTCAGCTATTTAGGAAAAGATACACTTCATCCTAAAAATTGGAATTCCTGGAAAAAAATGAAAAATCACATCACATAAGGGTATTTAATGTAATGTATTTTGTGTTGCAACTTAAGGTATTGATTAAGTCTTCAGTTATGACTGTGGTATTAAATTTCTTAAACCAAATTAGGATACATATATTAAAATAGATGAGTTAAGAAATGTGATTACACATTCAACCAGCTGAGTTTCTTCACTTGTCCAGCACTGGTGACAACCTATAATTTATGCTTTAGTACATTGACCACCGTGAGTTGTATGACTGCAGCCTAACCATAAGTTTGTTGATAAATTAGAAACATGTGCAACACTTGGGTATCTTTATTGTGGAAACGTTTCGCCACACAGTGGCTTCACCAGTCCAACACAAAGAAGAACGGTGAAGATCTGAAGGAGTTTGAGGTAATCATTCCCTCAGCCTGGAGTCAGTGCAATCAGTCCATCAATCTTATCAAGATTGATGGACTGATTACGTCAGTCTTATCAAGATTGAAGAATTGATTACATCGACTCCAGGCTGAGGGACTGTTACCTCAAACCCCCTAAATTTCACTGCTCTTTGTTTTGGACTGATGAATCCACGTGGGCAAAACTTTTCCCACAAAAAGATATTCAATTTTTGCACTGTCTAATTTACAACTTTCGGTTCTCTGAACCATTACACCAACATTTGTTAAACAAGGGTTGGGATTTTTATTATTTTCAAGAGCTTATGCGTAACAAGGAATAATGTATTTATATTAATCAAACTTATAATTTTTTTTTAAAATTTAAAGGGCTCACACTTATCCTTTCACCGTACATTAAAAAAAAATTTTGGGGGTTTTTATTTTTTGAGAATACAAGTTTGTTGATGTTTTGTACTTTTCTTTCAGGGTGGGTTTATTTGCTCTCCAAAACTTTCTTTTTTTAAAAATATTTTAAATTTAAATGGTTGTACCATTTAATGGAACTGATTTTTTATGACATTTCCTTGGAAAAAGTGATAAGAATTGAATTGACAAATGTGAATGAGAAATTGAATTGCAAAAATTAAATTCCAGTAAACTTTTGTAAACCCCCTCATAATGCTGGGCTATCCCAAAAAAGTTATCTTGTCTAAACACCATTTTGGAAAGCAAAGAAATGGGAAAAATTTGGGTTACATTTTTTAAAACCCCAGAAATGCCAAACAATTTTTTTTTTGGGCTTTTTTCCCAATACATATGTCCAAAAAAATTTTTTTTTACCATACCCTTTTTAATAGACTTGTTTTTGACTTGGAAATGTTTTTTTGTAGAGAGGATTTTATTTTTGGCCCTTTCTTGCCGAGTTGGATATAGCAAGGCTTATCAATTGAATGATGGGAACACGTGTAAATGTGATAAATTTAAAAGTCACATTTCCATATTAAATTTTACCAAACATGTAGGTA